TTTTTTTTTAACACAAAAATAAGACTCTTAAAAATACAACCTGTTTTCTGGTTAGAAAAAACAAAAAAACAAACAAAAACAAAAACCTCAACTCCCACTCCAACAACAGGACTAAATACTAAATAGAGAAGAAAGGGTTTTTTTTTCTCCAAAAGACTGTTTTTCTCTGAAAAAAAAAAAATTCTCATGACTTTTTTCTCATACCAGTACAACTTTTTTTCCTTAAAATATGACTTCCGGTACTACATTATTATTACTTGCAATAATAATCATGTCCAACTATCTATCAAACACAACTTTTAGTGAACTGAAAAACATGTTTGTGACAAAATACATTTCTATTCACAAAAAGATGACAACTTTTATCATGAAAAAAGAAATGACACAAACGCAACAGTGTTAATCAGAATGGCACGTTTGTTTTTGTTGCGGCAAAAATGTTAAAACATTTTGTCGACATCATTCAATGTGTGTGTACCTAATAAAAGTGCAGCCTAACATTAAAAGGTGGTTTCACATAAATAATTTGATGCAGTACAGCTAATTTCCTCACGCAAATAATGTCATCTGATGTGTTTCTGAAACCTGAAGTGCTGGTGTTAATTATAGTAGTTTAATATCTGTGTTCTAATTTCCTTTTTAAAGTCCAAAGTTTTGTACATACTAGTGTGTGTGTGTGTGTGTGTGTGTGTGTGTGTGTGTGTGTGTGTGTGTGTGTGTGTGTATGTTTTTTACAAATATTTATTTTCTACTATGTATATATTAGTAAGTAAAAGTAATATTTACTAAAATGCTTCTGTCGACTGATCTGACTTGTAGCTAGCTAGCAGCTAGCTAGCTAGCCAGACAGACAGACAGACAGACAGATAGATAGACACACACGCACATACATGTGTACACACATACAGATAAAGACCGAGAGATTTCTAATTCTGTAACATCAAAATAAAATAACAAAGTGGCAAAAAGTGTTGATGACTGTCTTTTTTGACAACTACATATTAAAACACATTTTACGAAGAAAAAAAAAACATCTGTGCTTTCCGTGCATATACAATGAATCACTAATTTACAAAAAATTGCTAATTTATTTCAATTCTATCCACGTCAGTCTGCGGTCACCCCGACTGATCAAAATTCTTAATACTTCCCGAAAGCAAATGACTGTGGTTACTTCCTCTTCCAAAATCTTTTTCACAAATCTTTGGACCATGAATGATAATCAGAGTTGCTAATTGTTCTGGACTGTCTGTAAATTGTTACGCAAATCTCTGAAAGTGACCTCTTTATGGTCGGATTATGTGGTATTAAAAAAATAAACATTGGTCATGTTGAAAAGGTTGAAAACGAGCAAAATTACTTTGCACATAATTGCGATTTATGTTTGGTAACACGCTGCTCCCATCCACGACTCCGCTAATGTAATGTGTCTCTGTGGATGCAAGCAGACAAAATCAAAGTAAACTGTGAGCTAATGACGTGAGACTCATCATGGTCGCTGATCGTTTTAATAGATTTATATCAGCAGTGAGTGACATTTTTCATCATTCATTTTTATTTTGATCCTCAAAAGTATGTCTTCACATGAAATTGCTTTTTTTCCTGCGCTGCTGTATTGAAATGAAAAAGTAAAATGATTAGAGCCAGGCCTGCACCATACAACACATCACAAAAGTGGCATGATTCAATGTAGACCCAAAAAAAACCCAATAGTCGCAGTTTTGGTTGCAACCTCCTACATTTTGGAATAAATCACAAAGAAATGACCAAACATGAGCCTAACCTGACCCACCAGGAAGTTTGACCAGGACAACACCAATTCTTATGATTTCTCCATTTACAAACATGCACATGTCCCTTTATTGAGTCTGTGAGGAAGCTTGAAGTAAGCAGCAGCTCAATGCACGGCCCTTAGACAGGGTTGACGCCAAGCGAATGGGGACTCAGATGGGTCCAAAATTTAGCACAGCCTCCGGAGAGCCTCCGGAGAGCCTCCGCCTCGCCGCTCCTTTGTCACCCACGCGAGACGGACATTGTTAGCAGATAGTTGCCAGAACGAATCATGCCCTCCCGACTGTGAGAACTTTGACACGGCCAACCTGTGAGCGGGAGCAGCCAATAACCATATAAAAGCAACACAAAGGACTTAATTGCAATCACTGAGCCTTTTTTATTGTATGGGGAGAACGCGGGGGAGTTTCACTTAAACATTCACCACTGACAACGGCAAACGTTTCAAGGTGAGGACGACCCAAGTCAACGTAGACGCAGAAAGAAGGGAAGAAAGGAAAAGGAAAATGTCGGGCAAAATGGAAACAATATGTTGTCTCCATAATGAGACACCGTTTTGGTTTTTCAAAGGAAGGTAACATTCTTTCTCAAAAAGCGAGAAAAAAAAGATTTACCGGTATATAAATGGCTTGAAAATGACTTTCCTGACAACACAACCCCCCCCAGAAAACTATTATTAGTTTTTGAACAATTTATATCTTGGAAAAATGTGAAATATCTCAGAAAAAAATGTTTTCACCTAAACTTTTTTTCCCCTCCCCAAAAAGTTTTAAAAATTATCATTACCAAGTTTTGTTCCTCCCAAAAATACAAAAAGAAATGAATATTTTTTTCTTGGGGATTTTTCAATTCCAAAATAATCATAATAAATACATTTTCCTGCAAAAATAATACTGAAACAAACATAAAAAATGAAATACAACTTTTTTTCTACAGAATGTACAAAATTAAGTTTCTAGTCAAGTCAAGTTTAAAGACTTAATCACAGAAGAGGTTCAAAGGGCTTCGCAAATCCAAAAGGTCAAGGAAACTAAAAATAAACAAAAAAAAAAACAAGCAAAAATACTTTTTAATTAAAAAAAAAGGTTTTTGTAAGAATTTTTTTTCTCAGAAAGGGGAACCATCATCAGTTTATTTTTTTCTTCTGAAAAAAATTTCACATCATTCTAAAAAGATGATCACTTCTATCACATGATACATTCTCTATCGTGCTTATCCAGTTCCCTTTTTTTTAAATTAAGAAACAGAGATGCAGATAAACTTTTTTATGTGCTGATTTCGAAATTGCCCACATTTTTTTCCAGCATATCAGGTTTCCAAAATAACAACAATGTAATATACTAAGATACTTGGGTTTTTTTTTTTTTTTGCTTTCTTTTTCACGAAGAAGGTACGCTTTGAGGTGCGAAGCACGTCATCCGCCCTGAATGCGAGGGATGTTTATCAGAATGTAACGTGAAGAGAGGCGACACCTGTAAAGCCGTCTTTTGAAGTGCCTGTTTGTATTGTTGTGGCCAACAAAGAACTCTTGGCACCTCAGCCAGATAACGGGGTGGGCTTCTGGGGGTTGCCATATGGGAGACATTTTCATGCACTTGAGTGTGTGTGTGTGTGTGTGTGTGTGTGTGTGTGTGTGTGTGTGTGTGTGTGTGTGTGTGTGTGTGTGTGTGTGTGTGTGTGTGCGCGCGTGCGTCAATCACATTACCGTAGCCGTATGGTGTGGTGGTCCGGCCCAGACGCAATGTTGGCGGGGTTGCCTGAAGGGTATGATGAAGGGTCATTGGCAGATTAGAGGTGCAATGGGAGGAGGCAGACATGATCACTCATTAGTCACCTTTTTCGTGTGTGCGTGTGCGTGTGTGTGGGTGTGTGTGTGTGTGTGTGTAAAACCCTCCCCTCCCTCTTCTACCACGGATCTTGACCAATCACGTGCGGCTTTAACCGAAAGGGGTGTGTGTGTGTGTGTGTGTGTGTGTGTGTGTGTGTGTGAAGTCACAAGCAGTTGACCGGGTAGGATGAGCTCACCTGCATTGCCAGCAGCAGTTTCACTCATCTCGTGTCTCTTTTCGGCAGTGGCCAATCACATTCGGGGCAAAAGGCAGGAAGTGGCCCATCCGAGGTTGCCATTTTCCTGACATCTGCATTTGCAATACAAAGCAGGAATTCATGTATTTGGAAATGCAGATTACCTTTTGAAACATAATATTTGAATGTACGAGCGTTTGAGTAATGGCTTCTATATGAGTGTCTCATGATCCTCTCCTCTTTCATCTATAACTGCTTCAAACAACAAAGAGTCTGCAGAAAAGTGATTCAGATTGAATGGCTGTCTGTGTCTTATGAGTTGTGTTGTATTATTTTGTTATGTTATTATGACTTCAAGGTGGTGCCGCGAGAGTGGCTGCCTTTACAGCAGCTCCTATACTTTTTGTTCTTCTACTTTCTTCCTTTCATAACTTTGCTGCTGTAAATTGGAAATGTGTCCATTGTGAGACGAATAAAGGTTTTCTTAGTCTTATTCTTTTATTCACAGTTTGAGAACGTCACATAACCAAACTCAGAAAACAAATCAATTATAGTCGGTCGTGACTGAGCAACTGTGATGACATTTTCAGTCGACGGCAAGTGGCAAAATGGCTGCCCCCTGAGATGGATTGAAAAAAAAAATCCATGCAATGCTACTTAGTCCTTGAGTATTTTCATCCTTCCTCAAGTAATTCTTTGGAGGACTACTTTGACTTGAGAGATACTGACTAAAGCACAGGTGTCAAACTCAAGGCCCGGGGGCCTGATCCGGCCCGCTACGTCATTTTATGGGGCCCACGAAAGCAAATTATGTGTGTCAACTTGCATGATCCTTGCTAAACGAGACGAATAAAGGTTTTCTTAGTCTTATTCTGATATTCCCAGTTTGAGAACGTCACATAACCAAACTCATAAAACGAATCAACTGTAGTCGGTCGTCACTGAGCAACTGTGATGTCATTTTCAGTCGACAGCAAGTGGCAAAATGGCCGCCCCCTGAGATGGATTGAGAAAAAAAAAATCCATGTAACGCTACTTAGTCCTTGAGTATTTTGTTCATCCTTCCTCAAGTAATTCTTTGGAGGACTACTTTGACTTGAGAGATACTGACTAAAGCACAGGTGTCAAACTCCAGGCCCAGGGGCCTGATCCAGCCCGCCACGTCATTTTATGTGGCCCACGAAAGCAAATGATGTGTGTCAACTTGCATGATCCTTGCTAAAATGTGCACCGAAATGTCAAATTGTCAAGTGTAATACATAAGAAATGATATTTTGCAATATTTATGTTGTCCTGTTTACACTCACTCACACAATAATTAAGCAAACTATTATAGTTGACGAATTTCAAAACTAGTAATCCAATAATTTGTTGTGCACAAATAATAATGTGATGAGACGATTAAAAATCTGTTTTGTGGTTTCAAATGTCATAGAACGGCCCTCTGAGGGAAGACATAACTCCGATGTGGCCCGAGACAAAAATGAGTTTGACACCCCTGAACTAAAGTCCACTTAGAGGATTTGGACGGGCCGCCTACGGGCACGCCGGCCGTTCCCCGAGTGTGCGAGATGGGCCGTATCGATGACAAGGTGACGAGCTGCGGGTTGGCGGGGGGTGTCGAGGAGCGGGCTTATCATTAGCGGGGCCTGGCGCTGGCCTCTGCGAGTTCCAGTAATTAGCAGACAAAGGGCGGCGCTTGCCTTCCCACTGCTTTTCCCACACTACACTGCAGGCTCAGAATTCCACTCGGCCCCAGACCTGCAATCTCCTCGCTTTTTAGACGGCAAATTACTGACAAGTCCCATTCTTCACAGCACTGTAATTGCTTTTTAGTGTTGTTTTTATTGAGGCCAGCGCATACCGCCCGGCCGACCCCCTCGCCGTTGCCTCAATAAAGTCAAGCCGGGGAGGCTGCGAAGGGGCGGGGGTGGCGAAGGGTTAATATAGATAACATTGGCCCCTAATTGGAACGTTTTGGTCAGCGTGGGGGCTCGGCATTTTTATTTTGGGGCGGATTTTTGTTGTCTTGTTCTGTGCTGTGAGTTTAAAAATCATTTCCAAGTCGCCCAAAAGAGATGAGCTGGTCCTGTGTGTCACTCACTCATATCTACTCTTTGCGGGACACGGTCCGTGTCACAATACAAACCCGCTTGAGCGGCGAAAACGTCTCATTATGGCACTTTGAAAGAGACACCCAACATTCTTGGCTTGCGTCAAGCCATTTTCCTCCGTACGACACTTCATGTCCACTTCACGGCGTGGCCGGCCAGGACAAATGTTCCGAAACTGTTGCCATTTGCAGCGGCCTCCGATGAAGGGACAAGAAAAAATATTCTCAGAAATGTCCGTGACGGAGTTGACACTAATTACTAGGATGCAAATCCTGTACAAAAACGGTCAAAAACCTATTCCCACAAAATATGTGGGAATAGGTCATTTAAAATCATGTTTCTTTGGGTAATTTTTTTTCAAATGGCCTTCATTCATACGTGCAGTACAATGTCCATGTATCCCTCCATCCATCCATCCATTTTCTGTTCCTTTTTATCCTCACAAAGGTCGCAGGGGGTGCTGGAGCCTATCCCAGCCGTCTTCGGGCTGTAGACGGGGGACACCCTGAACCGGTTGCCAGCCAATTGCAGGGCACACAGAGACGAACAACCATCCGCGCTCACACTCATGCCTCGGGACAATTTTGAGTGTTCAATCAGCCTACAATGCATGTTTTTGGAATGTGGGTGGAAACCGGAGCACCCGGCGAAAACCCACGCAGGCCCGGGGAGAACATGCAAACACCACGCAGTGAGGCCGGAGCTGGAATTGAACCCGGTACCTCATGTCCATGTATTTTATTTTAAATTACTGGCATGAATAGAAGTCTACTTGTCGCTAAAAGTAAATCAAATCGTAATGGGAAAGAAAATATGCAAGTGGTATTCATTTTCAAATGATTATAATACAAATATAAAATCGAATTTGTTTCACCTTATAGGAAAAACACATACATGTCAAATGATTAAAAATTTAATTTTAATACAGTGTCATTTCATTTTATCAAATATTTTTAATTAATTTAAAAATATGTATTAAAATGGATCTAAATTACTGTGGTTTTGAAATTGAATAAAACAAAAGATAGAAAAAGGACAAAATTAATTTCAAAAGTGTAAAATAAATACGAATACAATGTAAAATTATATCAACTTTAAATATGTTTTAATAAATAACAAATCTATTTTAAAAATGATTACGTAATTACATTAATTTACACTTTTATAATAAATTGCGTTCACGTTTTTCAATGATTGTAAAGTGCCAGTCAAGTTTCTAAAAGTTTTAGATTTGTCACTATAGTTAGTTTTTATTTCATTTTGAGTTTTTTTTATTTATTTTAATTTATTTTTTGGGGGGGCGGGGTTCTTAGTCTGTGGTACTTTTTATTTTTGGGGGCAGGGGGAAATGTTTCAAATTAAGTTTTGTTTTCATTAGTTTTAATATTTCTTTTTACATATGGAGTGTTTGTCAAGTGCAAGATAAAAAAAACAAAAAAAAGTCACTAACTATTGTGTTATAATGCAAAATAAATGACAATTGGAAAATGACTTTCCTTCTTCTGTACGGATGTGCAGGTGTACCGAAACAAATACATTTAAAATGAACCCTGAACTCTCACGTATGATT